GTGAACATGGAGGGTGATGACGTTGGGCAGTGCTGTTTTGGAACAAAAATCAGGTGTGACTCTAAGCAACGAGTCAGATTTTCTCATAAACTGGCTCTAAGGACAAATCCAAACGTGTTCAGAGCAATGGCAGCACTGTTGGAGCAAGTGTGGGGTCTCCCATGAGGACCATGTTAAAGGATAACATTCGTTTGGGTTGTAGACTTTCTGGTGTGTTTGTTTACATAAAGCCGGCCTCATTAGTTTATAGTCACACCTCTTAGACGTGCCCTGAACCAGTCCCAGCACCAGCACGAACCCCCAACTACCGCAGAAACGAGGGGTGCATCCTGACAAGTCTGCCAAAATTGTAACACCGGTGTCTGTGTCCTACTCAAATGACAGTTACTATGCAGTTGCATTTTATGAAGTAACTGAACATAACTCATTCTGGGAGACATTTCCTAGTCCCGTTTACAGTATCCAAGAGAAAGCAAGAGAGAGGAGTTCACAAAGAAATGCAGAGAGAAGGGAGATGGTTTGAAGAGGAGGGAGAATGTGTTACCCTAGGAAAGGGCAGAAAGACTATCAGGCTACATCTACAACCAAATTCTACAACAGGTACCCCAAATATAAATTACTGAAAAACTTAAAGGTATTTTCCATACATTTATGAATATCACACACTCACGATGTATTAGTGTGTATGTGCGAAAATTCGATACCTGTACTTCCCAGCAGCATAAGAAAGGGCTTAAAATTACAACTGAAAATTACAATTGAAAATTTCTAAGTACCTACTATGTGCCAGATACTGGGATTAAAAGGCAAGACAAAATCCATGTGAGTGATGGGATTTGCACATGGTAGATATGCGAAAACAACAACACCTGGCTTCGTTATGATTACTTATTTACAGAGCCTAAATGATGCCAAATAAATAGCAGCCTCAGAAAGGCCACGACCTCATTGATGATTCAGTAAATTCCTCTGGAGACTGTTTGACTGTGATTTGATGGTATGAGTTAGGATAAGGGAGGGTTTATGACTAGGGACTTTGCCATGCAGACAAGAATTTCTCAGATACCGCTGTTCAGTTGAACATGAGTAGTCATGGACACTGGAACACTGAATGGATGAACTATCAAATGCACAGCCTCCAGGTATCCTGAAGTATCTCTGTACATCAGCTTTCCTAACTTCAGTCCTTTCAGATTCTGTTTCCGGAACTCGGCACACCAGTCTCAGGGGAAGTACTTGAGATGCTATTATAATAGTGACTGAAGTTTTCTTCTAGAAGGTATAAGTATTACTTTGTGCTGCTTGCCTAAAGGTGAGAGGAACAGAAAAAAGTCGCTAAGATAGTAGAGTCACCTAATGAGCAGGTGGTAGTTCTGAATACATTTAACCTTTGCAGTGTACAAGTTTGGGTGGCCACTCTGGGACTTGCCCTGTGAATAAGAAAATGTACATGGTTGAGTTTCAAGCTGTGTTTATAGTTCTATGATTGAGGAACTAAAGACTGGAAGACAGGGCCACACCAGTGGTTAGGAGTTAAGTCCCTAAACTCCTCTGTGTCCTTGTGATTCCTGTTACAAAATGGGAGAATTACAGAGGACTTTCTTCTGAGTTGTGCTGGATTCTTGATTGGCATAGTAGAAAGAGTACCGGGCTAGTTTTCAAAAGGGAGCACATGGGGGAGAAGACAGAAAATTAACCCTATTAGAAACCCTGCATTCTGCTTTGAAATACTTGACAAGCATTAGTAGAGGAACAGATGGAGAATCAGGGAAGGAAGGAATTGAGCATCTATGATGTGATAGAAAGAGTGCTAATGCTTTTCCACAAATACCAAAGAATTGAATACTAAAGACCTGGGTTCAAATCATGCCTTCACTACTTATTAGTTTTGTAGCATTGGGTGAATTATTTGACTTATTCCAATTTTCTCATTGAAATGGGAGTTTCCTCATTTTAGCTCATTGGCTAAAATGAGGAAACTACCATCTCACAAGCCAGCAAAAACATTGTTGAAATATGTAAAACACTGTAGGAACTTAAGACTTCATTGTTATTTTTCTTCTCTTATACCCTGTCTCTGAAGTTCCTGGGGAACAATTTGTAGCAGGTATTTGCTTATTTGGTTCTGGCTGGCAAACTAGTTTTTCTGGTGGGCTCTCTCATACTCATGCACAATAGCACGTTCTTTTGTATTTGGTATATGAAATGAATTAGAAATACCTGGAAACAGACTGTGTTCTTTTGTCCTGCCTCTCTCCTACAGGAATGGTACCTTAGTGCATAGAACAGGATTGTAGCACACACAGAAAGATGCAGGGTCCAATGACCATAGCTTTCCGTTATTGGTTGTTTGGAAAGGCAGTAAATTTGCATAAAGGGACCTCAGGCACTGGTGTCCCACAGACGTGGAGTTGAGTTTTTGGTATGCTTGGGTCAGTCATTTAGCCTTTCAGCATGAAACTTTCCTCTTTGAAATGAGTTAATAACACCATCCTGAAGGGCTAGAGTGAAAAATGGAGATATGTATGTGGAGACTTCATAGATACTCAGTCAAGATTCCTTTGCCGTTTTTACACCTGTGGGAGTCCATACCACTAAGTCTTTGACTTGTTGGGTGGCCAAGATGACTTAGGTGTCATATTTCCCAGAGGCTAAAACCTGAGTTGATCTCTCACTGTCCTTTCCAACTTTGTGATGATAATTGTGGTTATCATTCTCGAGGGAGTGTGTAAAACCAGGGATCTTTGAACACATTTTCTTTTGGTTTAACAAGATATTTAGTACTTGGATTCTTTTATAGGGATTTAATTATGCACAAAGAGGCTTGGGGAGAGTTGGGAGTCTTAACTAGTTTAATGGAGAATTCTTTGTAGCGTCTTAGGTAAGTAGGACTAATGTTTCATCCAGCCCAGTGCAAGCAACATCTGAATGAATGGTCTCCTTGTTTTTACAGAATGGGGCTCAGTCTGCATTCTCTATGTTCAGACCATCTGATTCTTCCTCCACTGCTCTCTCACTGGATCTTCGGGTCAGACGTTATTGCAACATAAACTGGAAGGTAGCAAATAAGCCCTTTTGATTTCTTCGATCCTTCTTTGCCCATCCCTGCAAATCCTCCAGTCTACTAAAAGGAAGCAGCACTTTGATGATGACGCTCTTACTGAAGATGAAGAGCCCCAACCCTGTGGAACCCAAACCCTCACACTCTTTGACATGGATGTGGTGAGCTTAGCATTTTTAAAATAAAGAGTTTTCTGATACAAGGATCTGTCTCTGGACCTAGTCTTTGGGTGGCAGGGGTTTATGAAATTTAGAGCCAGAGACGTGACCTCTAATTACATATTTGCTTGCTTCTCTTTCAGCCTCTGGGTCTCACCACTTGGAAGTAAGTGAATCAGTATTAGTGAAACTAACAGTTTGATGAGTTTACTTTTTTTCTTTTAGGAAACATAAAAACTGTGGCTCAGAGCCATTGTGGTCACTGGGTCAGAGAGTTTGCACCAAGGGGAATGTGAGCGCCTACCTCAGAATGTTGCTGCGAGGATTAAAGGAGTGAATACACGTAAAGTGCTCAGAATAGTGCCTGGCCAGGGGTAGGGTTGTATGATTTTACCCCATCCACTTCTGGGTAGGGTCTGCCGTTGGCCCCAGAGCAGCTCCCTTTGGCTAGTATCCTCAGCTCGACTCCAGAAAGAAGCCATTCACAAAAGACCACATATTATATGATTCCATTGATATAAAAGTGCCCAGAATAGGCAAATCTATGGAAACAGAAAGTAGATTGGTTGCCCAGGGCTGGGAGCAATGAGAGGTTAAGGTGATAACTAATGGGTTTGTTTGTTTGAATGGTCTAAAATTGTGATGATAAGTTTCACAATTCTGTGCGTATACTAAAAACTGGTGAATTGTAAGGCATGTGAATTATATCTGAATAAAGCTGTTAAGAAATACATCTAGAATTCCACCCCTGCTTGCTATCAGGGTCATTAGCATGCTAGTCCAAACAGCTGGCATCTGTCTTTTGGACCACTAAAACTAGACTCCTAACTGCTCTTCATAATTGCCTCACCACTGTCTATTTTCCACAGAGCACTGTAGTGATCTTTGAAAATGTAAAGCAGACTGTGTCATCCACCTGCTGCAACTGCTCTGCTGTCTCCTCATCACACAATTAAAGTCAAGTATCCCACCATGGCCTGAATGATCTGGTTCTGGTGACTTCTTCCTCAGCGACCCACCTCTCCTGTGTTCATTTTGCTTTAGCCACATCAGCCTTCTTGTTCTTCAAATATGGCAATCTCATTTCTGCCTGCCTCTGCAATTTGACGTTCAGTCTGCCTAGAATTTGACCCCCACCTCATTTTTTGATGTCCAGGGCTAGGCTCAAATGTCCTTCCATCAGAGAGGCTTTTCTTGACCAACCCTATTTAAAATAGTTCCCACTCCATCAACCTTGAGCCACTCATTCATTTTATTTTCTTCATAGTATTTATCACTGTTTGAGTTTATATTTTAATTTAGCTATTTACTTGCTTATTAGAAGTCCCCTGTACTATTATGTAAATTCTATGAGAATGGAGAGTTTTGTCTTGCTCACCACTGCATTCTTAGTACCTAGAACAGTGCCCTGTCCTCAGTGTTTGTTGAATGAATCAGTGAAACCAGCATACAGATTATGAACATAAAGACAAAATCTCACACATACTTACTTTTTTTCTATGCATTTCCTGTTCTATAGCCTCACTTGGAGTATTTCACATTTAGTTATATTCTTAGGAGGATGTTCCCTTGAGGTTCTATTTCAATACCATTTAGCGTATTCTATTTAGAATGTAACCTGATGCCTAGACTAATCAATAGTTGCATGAAAGTCCATAAAAACATGGAAAATATTTCAGAACCTATGCTTAGTCAATCATTCATACTCCAAGAGTCAGCAATGGCTATTTCAGTGGGGTCTAGTCTTAAAAGAACATATTTTAATTCTCAGGTTTACTTACAGTGTGGGCTTTCTCTAGCCCCCGTCCTCAGGAGAATCCTAGCAATGGGCACATTGTTGGTCATGATGGCAATATCGAGAGGCGTCAACCCCTCACTGTTAGGAGTATTGAGATCTAGTTCTTCTGCTGTGTACTGATACAGAAGGATCTGCACAGCATCCATGTCCTGCTGTTCGACTGCTTCAAACATGGCTTCGTTGCCCTGAAAGTTCTGGAGAAGAACAAAAGCAGGTTAGTACAATTTCATAGACTAGTGTATCTTAGCAGCTTAGCTGTCTTGGATTTTGGGACTGCTTCAGTGACTGCATTCTCACTTGTAAGTTATAATTTATGCCAAGGTCTCCAACGTAAACACTGTGTTGGATCTTCCTTCCATCATTTCTAAGGGACATTGAACAGATATGTACATTTAGATGTGCTGACGCAATACAATAGAGCATGGATAGTCTACAGCTTTCTCAACTCAGTCTTCAGTGGAATACTTGTTTGATAGACGCCTAAAAAGTGTTCTGTGAAGAAGGGAGCATGTGGTCAAATAAATTTGGTAAATATTGGATTAAGCCAAGTTACCCCATTATTTTACTCTAAGACTCTCAGGGCCTTTAATAATTTTAACGTACAGTTATGACTCCAGTAGGTGGGAAATATGACCTCTTTCAAGTATTTGTTTATAGAATGTATTTTTAATTGCATTTGTTTGAACTGCCCCTGGAATAATGTTATTACAGAATCCAGTTTGGGAAATGCTGGCAGAAAGAACACAGCAATGTTAGTTTAAATTGTGACTAGCTTGGAATTGAGAGTACACTTTCTCTGTCTCAATCTCAGCCTCTCTCTTTCCACCCCATATCTCTACTATTGCCCAGACCATCATCATCCCTTGCTTGGACCATGTAATGACCTGCCTGTTGCTAGTCTTAGTCTCCTCTAGCCCATCACTGATACAAGAGTAGTAATCTTTTTAAAATTTACATGACATGTTCATTCCATATTTATAATCTCTAATAGCTCCATACTGTCTGCAGGCTGGTTTCCCAACTCATACACTTCTTTGTACAAACCTCTGCTCTTTCTCAACCAATAGCCCCAACCACTGAACACCTGGCATTTCTGAGCCCTCACGGGAGGGTGGTTCAAAAGAAGTGGTTATCCCAGGAGGGTTTCCAGGGCTGGGTGGCAAATTGGTCCCAAAGAGAACCAAAAGTTTAATACAATACTCATAACGACAACATGGTTCCTTTGAAAAGTTCTTTCAGATACATATTTCTATAGCTCATAGGAGAAGAGCAACCCATGTACATTTACACATCTGTCTAGTATCTTCTCCAAGAGTAGCTCAGTCTTTAAAATATTGAAATATCATTGATCTTGACCTAGCATAGGAGTCATGTAATTAAAATGTGTAAGGTCTTCAGTGACCAAGTATTTAGATTGGCAGGTTTTATTTTTAGTCTTATCAAAAAATGATTCTCCCTATCAAAGGCTGCAGGTCTGCTTAGCTGAGTACATAACACATGACTGAAGAAAATACAAAGTGATTATGCAAATGCTCCTTTTGACAGTGGGTACCCAGGGAATAGAGTTATTTTGGCATGCAGCTCTCAGGACAGTCTGCTGAATGGAAAAGGGTTTTGTCAACAATCTGCCAAACTGAAGAGCCTCTGAGACTTAGGCCATAACTCAGCCACAACCAAGCCCTCCCAGAAGATGAGTTTGAAATGGGAAAGCAAATGAGTGCAAAGTTAAAATGCTGTCCTGTCCAGAGTTGTGTATTTGTGATTCTTAGTTCGTCTCATTTCTCATGTGCCATATTTGCTCTCACTCTTAAGTCATTTCCTCCCCCATGCTTTTGCTGGCAAACTCTAGTATGCTTCTATCTGGAAAGGCTAGGGCTCGTTTCTGTTTTAAACTCAAACAAATGGTGCCATTACCCCCTGCAGAAATACCCTTGCTGAGCATGTTAATGTTATGCCCTCAGCTTTTACTGAGGGCCAATATAAGAAACTACTACATGAGAATCTTTGTAACATCACCAGTACTATTTTTTATTCTCCATTACATAATTCACCATGACAGCTTATAAAGGCCAGAGGATTTAGCAACAGAAAATATTAATGTCTCCTTATAGACCAATATACTTTCAGCTATCAGCTAATGGGATGCTATAACTGTATAGGAATTCAAAGATAAATGTAATTATAAAATTTAGGTACTATATTTGCCTAGGTTTTTGGTATATCTCTTTCTCTTCCCATCCTCACCAGTTTCTTTTTTATCCTTCCTTCCTTCCATCGCTTTCTTTCTCACTCACTGTTTCCCTCTATCTTGTTCTGTCTTGTTATTTCCCATTATATAATGCATATGCTTTTTTTTTTTTGCTTGAATTCTTTCTTGAATGCCTTTGGAAAGCATATGGAATATACATTATAAATAAATAAAATATTGTTTATTGATCATTCAGTATTTAAATGAGCAAAGAAGCTCTCAGAAAGCTACTTAATTTCATACTCCCTATTTGCTGCTTGTGGTTTCTTTGGTCTATTAGAGAATGAAAAATGAGGATGAAAGGGGGAAAATTAAGAAAGAGAAAGGGGAAATCTCACAATAACTCATACTTCAGCTAACAACATAGATATGTGCAGCTCCTGTCTTAACTGACTCCCAGCATTTCTAACATTGCAAACATGAAGTTTTGAGGTAAATGTGGATCATATTAGCATTCCCTTAAATCCAGACACAACTGCATAAATCAAACCGAGGCAAGAATATAAAGAGTTTTCTTACCACAGAGGTCTTCCTGAGACTCAGCCGGTCAGTCCTTGCTCTAAAGTAGGCCTCATCAAATGAAGAGTGGCTCCCCTTCAGTTTCTCAGAGAGGTTTCTGTACAGGCGTTTGGCAGCATTGGGAGATGATGGGGCACTATGTTTTTTTGACTGAGAAAGATGTAAACTCTGCATTTGTTGGGTCATTTTCACACGACAGTTCCTAAGAGGAGGAAAAGATAATGTATCATTTACACAACATAATTATAAATTGACACAGAATTTTATCTTCTCTAGTCACCATCTGGAATCCTAATAAAACATTATAGCTGGAAGAGACCTCCAGAGTCATCAAGCAGGCCTTCATGTTCTAGGTGAGAAAGCTGAAACTCGGGGAAAGGAAGAAGCTTGTTTATGGACACAAAGCTAATTATTGGCAGAAAGGAAATTACCTTCATTTAGTATATGAACATACACATCTACATACAAACATATATATGACATGAGCCTCTACTTCACATCTTTTTGTCTCTATCTCACTTGGAGGAAGCATCTCATTTCTATAACCCAAGGAGTCTGTTCAGTTCTTGGGTATATGTAATTGGTTTCATTCTGTTTACTGCCTTCTATATCAATGGTTCTCAACCTGTGGGTCGCGACCCTTTGGGGGTCGAATGACCCTTTCACAGGGGTCGCCTAAGGCCATTGGAAAACACATATATAATTACATATTGTTTTTGTGATTAATCACTATGCTTTAATTATGTTCCATTTTGTAACAATGAAAATACATCCTGCATATCAGATATTTACAATTCATAACTGTAGCAAAATTACAGTTATGAAGTAGCAACAGAAATAATTTTATGGTTGGGGGTCACCACAACATGAGGAACTATATTAAAGAGTCACAGCATTAGGAAGGTTGAGAACCACTGATCTAGAGCATGCTGCTGTCTTCCCACCATCTCCTTTCAAATCTCCAGTCCTTGAATTTTTATAGCCTTATGGATCCCACAATATAATAACATGTAGAACCTCTTTTATTGAACTGTTCACAGGACTGACTTTAATGATTCCCCAATTCCTACAGGATGAAATCTAAATTCTTTAGCCTCATATACACTGCTTTTCTCTCAAGCATCATCTCCTACTATACCTCTACATTTTATGTTTCTGATTTCTTAGGGTTTCCTAAGTAGTTTAAACTTTTTCCTACTTCTGGGTCTTTGTATGCACTATTTTGTACGTATTGGAATTCCGTCTGTGCTCAAATGGTCTCTCACATCCCCAGGCAAAACGATGTAATTCTTTACTCATTCACTTAGTATATACTTGTTATAACAAATATTTTCTTGTATTGCAACTTTTTTTGGCTTTCTGTCTCCTGACTAGTCTATATGCATCTCAAGAATAAGGTTTTCCAAATATATTTTTTTATATCCCTAGCACCTAAAATGTGCCTTCCTCAGGGTAAAGGAAACATAATACATATTAGGATATGAATTGTTACTCTTCCACCTACTATGTGAACTTGGGCAAGTTACTTAACATGTCTGAATCTCATTTTTATCATTTATAAAATAGGGATAATAATAACATCCACATATTATAGTTGTAAGGATTTGATGAAACAGAATTTCTGGAGGATGAGGCCCAGAAATCAGTATTTTAAAAAAGATTCCTAGGTGATTCTAATGTGCAGGCACATATGAGACTGTTAAATATAATATACAAAGGGGATACCCAGAAAGCTAATTTCCTCCTCATGCCTCTGAATTGGGTTCCATGTCTACTAGCACCAACTAACCTTGATTAACTTACACTTTCACAAATGGAGGCCCATCTTCACTACATTGTTGAATGTTTTTAGGCACTTTTTATGTCTTGCTTGCGATTTCCTCCAACACAAAAAGACGTTCTAGTGCCTTCTAAGTTCTAAGGTGGTCAGACCTATTCAGAATTAGTCATACCCAGTCTTATCTAATAGTCTTATTTAAATTTGGGAGGATAATATAAAGCACTGTCTGTAGTGTATATGGATGTGTGAATGTGTTTTCATAAATCTTTAATCTTTTAATTTACACAAAAGCAAAAATGGAAAGAGTAGGTGATTTGACATCTTTCTTTCTCCATCTACAAGTCCTTTACTTTTGATTTAATAGCAACTATAGTGATACTTCTATATATTTTTAGTCCTACAAAAATTCCAGATTGATATGCAAGCTGGCTCACAAGGGGATTGCCTTAAACTCTTCCTTTCTGCCCTCTGTCTGTAGTCTTTCCCTTCAAAATTAATGCCCCAGTTAGTGCCATCTGTCTTGTCTACATCGTTATCATTCCCAAAATAACACTACATTTTTTTGTATCTGACACAGTGCCCAGGAGTCCAGTAAATAAGTTCTTTTCAATTGATCAGATTCCAGTTACTTGCTCTACAACTGATGACACCTACCCACTGGCCCCTTTTGTCTTTGCTCATGTCCCATCTGTTCTTTTTAGTCAAAATAGATTTACTTTCTCTGTCTCTTCGACTTCCTTATCATACTCCCCAGCTGTCCCTTCCAGGCTATCCTTCAGCATATTTTTATTCTTCTAGATGTTATCTGTTATGTATTTTTCTTCCTCTATATTTAAAATTTTGTCTGATTAGAAATACTGAGAAAGACAATTTCCTATTATCTGTTCTCATAAACATGCATGTCCCTTTCAGCTAACTGTACTCTTAAATTTTTACCTTCATGGTAAAAGGAACAAGGAACAAGCATTTGAGAAGCATTATGGTATTTGGCAGACCCAAGCATGAATCCTGATATTATTATCTATAGTCTATGTTACTTTGGACAGTCACATAAAAATGTAAATTATCTGAGTTTGTTTAATCATAGTAGCCACTCAATAAATAACAGCAATTATTAAAGTTATCTCAAATCTTTTTCCCAAACCAGAGATACCAAAGTATATTGCAACAATCTAAATAGCTTTCTTGTTTTAAACATTGTTTTGAAATTTGACTTTATGTATTATACTATTTAGTTTTTATTTTGATAGAAAATATGTTTAAATATTTTAATACATGTGTTTTTAGTAACTTATAGTAAAATAGGAAGAGCAAGTAGAACTTCAAACTATTAAAGGGAAGAGGATTAAAGATAAAAATTGTAAAACAAAGAGGGATATAATAAGAAAACATAATAAATACACATGTAAAGTAAAGTAGTAGGGTTAAGATTAAATATATCTGTGAGCACAATACATTCACTTGGTTTACTTTTTCTAATAAAACTGTCAATTGAGATTTTTAAAAAGCCATTTACAAGTCATACACCTAAATAAACATGTCACAGAAAGATGATAAATAGAATAATAGTATGACAGTGGAAACAGCAAACTAAGGATCTTTAAAAATTCTCTCCTCCACAAAAGCAATGAGAGCACTACCAAAACTGGTCAGAATTAACTTTTTGAGAACCATATAAATCAATTAAAAAGCCATTTACAAGTCATACACCTAAATAAACATGTCACAGAAAGATGATAAATAGAATAATAGTATGACAGTGGAAACAGCAAACTAAGGATCTTTAAAAATTCTCTCCTCCACAAAAGCAATGAGAACACTACCAAAACTGGTCAGAATTAACTTTTTCAGAACCATATAAATCATGACAGTGGAAACAGCAAACTAAGGATCTTTAAAAATTCTCTCCTCCACAAAAGCAATGAGAACACTACCAAAACTGGTCAGAATTAACTTTTTGAGAACCATATAAATCAATAAAAATTTTGCAGCAGTCCAGGAAGTGTTTATTCAAGAAGAGTGGATAAATTCAGTAAGAACAAGCTTAATGGCATTTTACCTTGCTTAATTTCTATATTCCCCATCTCTGTGGTGGCCTTGAAGACCAACAGCCTATATTCATGGTAAAACAAAACAAAATTGAAAAAAAAAGAAAGGCCTGGCAGCCATTGGTGGTGCAGAATGGTGATGGAGTTCCTTCAAAACTCCATTTTCAGAGAATTGTTATTATTTCACCTGTTTCGTGATTTCTTGGAGGACCACACTCTCAAGGCTTTTCTTTATTTGCCCTAACTTTGAGCTTACCCAAGTGCAAATAATCTTTTCCTCTGGATAGCTGTCAAAAACAAACATCAGCAACTGTTTAACATCACAGCTGCCCGAGGTGATGGATAAGAGTGGGGCAAACAATAGACTAACCAAAAAGCTTAAAGGAGAAGCTTAAATGTAATGTACCTGAAAGACTTTGAAAAGCTCTGACACATTCCTGGGGCTCTATCAGACCTCATGCATGCCCAGGGTTGGGAGCATTCTCATGAAACACCTGAGAAGGTCCTAAGCTCTCATCTCTATCTGACTTTGAGGCTCTGTGCAAGCAGGAAGTGAAGGCTAAGGCAGAGATGTGAACTGCCTAATAAGTATTGAAGGTATGCCCACAAATGCACACAGAGCCCCTCTGCAATTACTGGGAGACTTATTAGTTCCAGGCACTTAAGAATATTTTTGTTCAATCATTAGCTGACCACTAAACTAACCAAGAAGAGACTTAGTAGCCACATATGACAATAAATGCAGACTTTACAGATACAGTTCTAAGAAAACATCACTAAACAATAAACCTTGAGGAAGGGGGATAATCTGATTTCTAGAGTTCCTGCATTATGTTATTTAAGATGTGTTTTCAACAATAACAACAACAAAGTAAGGCATGTGAAGAAACAAAACTATTTTCCATTCACAGAAAGTAAAGCAGTCAATAAGCAAGGCCAGATGCTGGATTTATTAGACAAAGACTAAGTTTCATATTTTAAATATTTTCAAGGAACTAAAGGAACCATGTCTAAAGAAACTAAGGAAATTATGAGAATGATATCTCACAGAATGTTCTAAAGAAAGATGTTTCTTTTTTTTTTCTTCTAAAGAGAAGGGGACAGATCTGTTGAATGAAAGTGGGCTGGTCTCTGCAACATGACTATAGGACCAGACTTTAGGATATAGTTAGCCAGGGAAAGATATTCTATGGAAAGTTACTACTAGTTTTTTGTTTTTTTTTTGCATCTTAATACTTTTTTTAATTCCCAGATCTTTAACTGAAGTCATGTTAAATGTTAAGGCCTGCCAAACATTTAAGGAAGAAATAATACCAATTCTACACAAAACTCTTTCCAAAAATTTGGCTTCATTTTGAGGCTACCATTGCCCTG